GATTCAAATATAAAATTCATGTTCATTTAGAAGTGTTATCCATTCAGGATATGTAGAAAATTCTAACATACAATAATGTATAACCTATATTGTAAATAAAGATTGAAAATGATAAATTAGCGCATTTAATAATATTCACATAGTATCTTTCAATTTAAGTCTCAAGATACAGGGGATTTTAGCATGTATATGTGTTTTACTAAAAAAATTATACAGTGTTAAAAAGGCAGGAGAAAAACATTAGCAGATAAAAAAATAGGCTAAACATTTCATCATTTCTTTTTCTGGAGACAGGTAACCATTTAATGGATACTCTATCAAGTCAAATCAATTTTAATATGTTCACTGCCCATTCAGGAGTATCTTGAGAGTGAGATAGGCATATGACTATTGAAACAGATATCTTCATCTTTAATCCCAGAAATTAAGTAAAAATAAGCTTCTTGGAATCAAAGTTGAGTTTAGTAACGTGAATTCTTTAGGGCAACACATGTTAGACAGTCCAGTCTAATGAGTCCTCAGATTCAAAGTATAAAGTAGAGAAATAAAATATATAAAAAAATTGAATAGACACACACCTATGACATTTCTGAACCCCAAAGATAAAAAGAAAAATCTTAAAACTTTCAAAGAGAGAGAGAGGAAAAAGAAATCCTACATGTTATATACAAAAAAAAAAAAGGACAATAAATTGTTATTAGACACAACTGGAAGCAAGTAGAGGAGTAACTTCAAAGTTCAGAGGGAAAATTATTCTAAAACAACAGTTTTATGCTTTTGACAATTGACAATTAATTTCGAGTGTAAAGTATATTCTCAGTTTGCTAATGAATCAGGAAGTTTGCCACTCACCCTATCATCACATTTGTAGAGATGGTGATATGAGAAACTGGGGGAAAAAGAAATCTGATGAGATATTAATAAAAAATGAAATTAATACTGGTATTTCAAAAACTCTTTTTCAGGCAAGGGTGCAAATGCATAAAATTTCATTTCTTTTCTCGTAAGTTCATAGCTTTTGACTCTAGAATAACATATCTACCAAATTATAATATTATAAATGTTATTTTTAAGGTGAGGTGAGGCTTATACCTCTATACTTTGGAAGCCTATGACTAACCAGATCTTTCTGTGTTAAGTAAGTTTATAAATTTGGATTTTTTTTTTCTGCCATATACCTAAGTCATGTTTTAACAGCTTTATTGGTAATAAGCCTTATGTTTTGATCTTTAATTGTCTGACTCTTTTGTCTATCATCAAATTCTGAACTTAGGCAAGGAAGAGAGTTTCTATTTATTGGGAATACTCAAATCTAGAATACTCAAGTCTAGACTCTATGTAAAATCTGGGGAGTTGAACATCCTTCAGAAACTGAGTTTTTTGTTGGGCTCACCCATGCAGGGTTTTGGTTTTTCAGAAACTTCTATTATGCCATATAGTTATTTTTTTTTTACAGTTGTGTGGTTGGCTATACCTGGCCATCCTGAGCAAATAGCTTTAGGTATTAGCTTAAAACACAGGCTGGAGAGCCAAGAGAGGGAAATAAGTTGTTAAAGATCAGGGTGACAAGTATAAGAGAAAAGAGGTGAAATTCTCAAGTCCAGTTATTCTTAATGTGAGTCTTAGAAAAGGAGATGTTTATTTTTGTTAAATACGAGAACATGTGTGAAGTTAAACAAAGGATGTTGATAAGATCTCAAAGAGTCATGACACCCACCGAGGGAGCCTACATTGACAAAACTATGAAAAATCACAGTATTAATATGGAGAATAACTATTGAGAACAAGTGACTCATCCTTAATGATTAAGATAGTATACAAGGAGGCAACAGAAAAACTGGTCAAATTTTAAAGGAGACCAAGAAAATTAAGGTGAAATATTCAAAGAATTACTAGGTGAGTTTCAGTTTGGTATGATTATTGTAGGTATTAACTGGACTGTATATAATCTTGCTGGAGAAATTTATTGAATAGAAGCTTTAAAGGAAAGTACGACAAAGATGAGGCATAGTAGAGGCAAACCGGGCAGAACGATAATAGATAATTAGGCCTAGGTTAGATGCTGTTCTGCAGAGAGAACAGCACCTGTGTAATAACACCCAGGAAGGTAAAGATGGATAAGATTTTCTGGAGTAGTAGAAGCTTTAGCAGATTCAGTATTGTTGATTTTTTATTTCTCATCATGGGACAATAGCTAGAAAGATATGCAAAACCAATGCCTGGACCAGGAAGCAAAGAAACAGTAAAATTAAAGTAGGAATACAGATCTGGTAAGCTGTTATAATCTATGAATGCTAAATAGCTGGATGGTGAATGTACCTCAAATTAGACCTTTGTTTGGGACTGCCAACATTACAAATTTCTGAACTTTGCAAGAATTTTGAATGTCTCTGAAAGTGTCTCCCCCATATGTTTTTTCAAAAATGTGCCATAATTAACTTCTCTAGAGATTTCTCCCAATTAAATTTCAAGTCACAGATTGTCAATTCTAGATAGCTGCTATCCTAGCAAGCTGAAAATAAAATTTTCTCTTGTTCTGCTTATTCCTGCAGAGACTAATGAATTTTTGCTATGAACTTTGGGATAGTGAACACAGGTGATAATTTAAGTTAGTTAGGTACTATGGCCTAGAAACATTATTTTGCTGGAACAATGGATGGAATGTAAAAACAACTAATAGGAAACCAAAATGATTGCAACTTTGCATGTACAATCTTTAGAGTTCAACATTTTGAAAGGGGTTGCTACATTTATTATATATATATATTTTTCAATAAAATGTACTTAAAACTTTATTCTATCTTGAAAGAAGACTAGTAAACATGCAAGTTGAACACAGAAAAATGTGAGATTGTTTAAAGTGCACCGAAAGAGAATATAGTGTCTTAATAAAAGAAAATTAAAATTGTTACATGAAATTTTAAACATGAAAAAAATCCAAGAACAAGCTGCCAATATTCAATAATAATTAATCATAATAGAAATAAATTTTTAAACCATGCAATTTTACAGTAATTTATCTTGTTTATCTAATAAGATTAATTACATGGAGACCCTTCAGTTTCTGATAACCCAGAAACCAAGTCAAAATGTCATGCAACTCCTGAGTAAGTGTTAGCACTTACTCATATGTCTCACAAACACGGGTTGCATATTTATGCTCATAGGGTTCTTTCCATGGGATAGCCAATAATAAGGGAAATTCTTCAGTACTTTTATTAATTAACTCTTTCTTGCCTTGTTGGTTCCATTTTAACCCCAATACTATTATTCTGAAGGAAATAATAGCAGTAGGAAATGTTAGCCATTATTGTCTTATACAATGTATTAATATTCTCATTAATATTAAAGACAAGAAACTAAAATCAGTTTCTGACCATGAGGGCTCTCAGGAGTTGAGAAATAATTCTATAAAATTAGTATCAAATCAATCCAAAGTGTGTAAAGTTAATAATAGCTAAACTTTACATATATTATTTTAAATTATTGTATAATTGGAAAGCTTAACTTTAGTAGCTATTGAAAGGATATTTAACTTGGTCCCATAAACAACCAATATACTATGTAATAATGCAATGCCTTAATGTCAGCCTTATATGAACGATGAAAGCAGGTCATATTGTCATTATGTGTAAATATTTATTTGTTGTAGAAACGAGAATAAACTTATAATAAAAATAAACCAAGTCTATTAGCCAGGCTGTGTTTTGATTTTTCATATTCCTTTAGACTTGAAATAAACAAGCCAAAATTTTTAAATGTCTGTCAAGGAATATTTTTTAAAAGAATGTTTTTTCAAGAAATAACCACAAAATTGAATAGGCCATTCCTCAACAGGACTAAAAAAAATTAAGATATTTGAAACAGATTATGAGAATATTTAAGTATACATATTTTGACTGATCAACAAAAGAAGAAATATTTATTACTGAATAGGAATGCACATTTAATTGTATTTAAGAAATAATGTTCTCAAGGTCATTTTTTTTCTGGACAAATTTCTACTGAGTTTGGATATATACCTATTTTTAGTAAGTAGCAAACTAGTGAACAACTAAGTTAGTGAAATGTTTCTGCATCTTGTAAGTATATATTTTCTCATTATTAGTAAACATCTACAAAGCAAGTGAGAAGATGAAATGTGAGGCAAATTGATTAGTCTGTATACTGTAACCATAAGAGCATGTCTGTTACAAAATGATGACTAGAAGAGTGAATCTTCTTTTATAGGAAAGAGGGGACATATGAAAACCATAAATAGAATGTATTAATTACTTGAGAAACAAAAAAGGAATAAACAACCAATAGATCCTGGAATAAAAAGAAATTATATTGCTTTTAAATATGATGTTCTAAAGGTGCTATTTTGTCGCTGAAAATGTCACTATATATTTTTAAGATTTCTTATTTATGGATTTACTTGCTTTCTAACAGATGCTGAGACTCAAACTTTGCCAATTTTACAAGTTATTTAAATGTTCCTTACTATATGTGAATGAAAAGATATACCGTTTCCTGACAGATGCAAAACAATCTGCTTTGAGTCTAAAGTAAGTTTGTATTCAATAAGTCAGATAAATGTTTCTCCTTTTAAATACTTCACTTTAAAGCATACGCACTTACACTTGTTATGAGAAGAAACACAAAGCTGGATGGTATACTCTAACTTTACTATACCAATTCAGTACTGAATTCAATACCAAATGATTTTAAGGCTACATTTAAGTACCTTAAATATATGTGAGTTTTGAAATAAATGCTTTGATTACTTTAAAAAAACTGTTTATTTCTACTACAGGTTGAAGATTATTATACTCTCTCCAACTGTAGCTCACAATAGCCAGGAAACATGAGCACAGAGTTATTTTAGATAATACGAGGAATATACTGGCCTTAATCTAGCTATTTTGTTTCCAATCATCCTCTTTTTAATTCCCTAAAAACAATGATAAAGAATAAATAAAAGTTAGAATAGGAGGGAAAAAAATATCCAAACCTACTTTTTCTTCAGTCTTCTATCCTTTTCAGCTTGAGTTCCAAGTTTGCCCAACCCCAGGGACTCCTGAGCTGCCGCTTCTGTCTCCATAAAGCCTCCTGCGAAGAAGTAACTATTAGGATTAGGCTGCATACATTGTGTCAGTTTTGAAATTAGGTACTTAAAAGTTTACTCCAGCAACTATTTAGTGTCATATTTTTTGTATTCTTCTTATGTTTCCAACTCAACATGCATAAAATGACATGGTTACATACATAAACATACACTGAGACAATGAATAGAAACATACCTATTGGGATACCATTCAGTTGCACCTACTAGCAACATAATCAAAGCATCCTATACAGTGACAAACACTTGAATATGCAGTCCCAAAGCCTTGAAATCTATTTTGCTACTTTTCTTATGGAAAATGAGAGCAAAAATCTGTGTAGTGTGCAAGATATTTATCAACATTTTGTCAATATCCGAACAAATTGCAATATCTCATAAATAATGGGAAAAATGATAGCCCATTGAGCAGAAACTCAGGTGTATGTTTTCTATTCCAAGCTGATAGAATGGAGAGGCATTTTCTGACTTTTAACGGCTCTTCATACCCTGCCCCTGGGACCCTGTTCTCTGCTCAAGTGGCTGATGCTTGTATCCTTCACTATAAACCTCGCTTCCAGAGCTTGATGGTGTTCTGGGGAGATTTTTTTTTTTTTTTTTTTTTTTTTTTTAGTTATAATTACTTATTTCTATTTTATTTTACTTTATTTATTTAGAAGGCTGGCCAATACAGGGATCTGAACCCTTGCCCTTGGTGTTCTTGGCACTGCACTCTAACCAACTGAGCTAACTGGCCAGCCGTATTTTGTTTTTGTTTTTGTTTTAAAACTCTATAATAGTAACTGTAGAAATTCTAAATCTTTCTTCAAAAGACTCTGATAAAAACAGTTTTTGCCCAATTGGTCACAAATTACTTGGTTTAATGTCAGTATTGTTGGCTTTGGAATATGTAATATGTATGTTATAACCTTGGAATGAAAAGAGGAAGAAAGAAAAGCATGATGTGCATCAAAGACATTTTACAATGCAATTATTTTATTCAGGATCCTTACACATATAATTAATTCATAAAATATCTTCTGTAGTTGGAAAACGAGGACTTAATACTGTGCTCTGCTTTCTCTTTGGTATTTACTACAAGTTGAGTATACCTTGTCTGAAATGCTTAAGGCCAGAAGTGTTCAGATTTTGGATTACTTTCAGATTTTGGGATGTTTACAGATACACTCCTAATCCAAAAATTCAAAATTGAAAATGCTCCTTTTAGCATTATGTCGGTGCTCAAAAAGTGTTAGATTTTGGAGCACTTCTGATTTCATATTTTTGGATTAAGACTGCTCAACCTGTATACAAGTACATGAAAAACATGAAATCAAGCTAAATGAAAAAATGTTCATTATTTTTAAGTGGGTTAAGGTAAATATACATTTAAAATAGAAGAAATTTAAACTCCAGTTAAACTCAAGATTAGGTAGAAAGATTTAAGCTAATTCCAACTCTTACAAAGACTACACAAAAATTTCACCAATATATCAATAAATAAGACTATTGAAGATAACTTTCACTCTTCTTTCATTGTAGTGGATATTTCCTTACTTAACATTTGCAGGACTTGACCAAGGCATGTTTTTTCTTTAGCAGAATAAAATATCTTAGCAAAACATCAGGGGAAAATTTTGATGTTACTGTTTTTCATATTTTATTTTAGCAAATAATTTAACATATTAGATACTGTTAACTCTGGAACACTGATATAAATAAGTTAACTTCATATCCTGATAACTCTGTTACTGAACTGCAGTTAAAAGAAAGTTTCCTTTAATTGGAAACACATTGATTGCTGTGTAGGTCTAATTCAGGAATGTGGGGTTTGAGAACCAAAATTTATTTTATTCATCATGCACATGTGAAATTAATACTTAAAGAATTTTTTTTATTATGAAAGATTTTCATTGTTGGTATCATTAAGAAAGCCATCCACTGGCTGACTAAAGCACTCTTGGGGAACATTTTTAAATATGGAATTTTCCATTATGCACAGTGAGTGAATATTTTCATTTTATTTCTCTCATCTGTATATTTGCTTTGCTGTACATCCATAAATTACTATTCATAATCTGCAAATAACTATAAAAATGTTCTCTTGAAATGGAAATGAATGATTCACTTAAAAGTTATAAAATTCTTGAACAGTCCGTATGGAGACATGGAGATTGATGAGGCTGACCTATTCAATAAACAATGAAACATTTTCAACGACCAGGTAGTTGGATGAGTCAGGCTTTTTATTCTTCTAAGCTATAAAAGAAGAACATTTAAGTTGCAATTTAAATTGTTTCAAAAAACCCACTTTAATAGGAAAAACAAACATTTTAAAATAATGAAAAATCTGGAAGAAAATTTTAAAAAGCTCTAGGAGTATTTTGTGAGTCAAAAATGGATATTTCAATTTTCTTTTCATAAATAAAATTATAAATATGAAAAGCATTTAGGGCTTAGAAATACTCTGGGTACTTTAAATTTTAATCCTTTGTTTTCAAAGAATTTAGGGGGTAATTGAGGCAACATTCTGTTTGAAAATGGCACTTAAGGCCATAGTAGGTAAAATTGTTAAGCACCACATACAGGACAGCACCCATAAGCAGGAATAAAAGTCCCAGCATGTGCACTTTTTTAGCCCAATTAAAACATTTCTGGGTCAGAAGGACATTTTTTCATAGAATTGACCCAGCTGCCCCACAAATCCCAGATTCATCTTTCCAGATAGCTTGCCAACTAACTAACTGGTAAGGGTGATCTCAGCCAAACCAGCTTATGAACTTTGTCTTTTCTTTATGGATGATTATCTAAATCTGGTGAGAGTCTGTTTCATTCTTGTTCAGGTATTTGTGGGCTCACATAGCTATGCATACTTCAGGAATAACTATTCATCTATACCAATATTTTACTGACTAGCTGAATGTAATTAATTAGTGAGCACTTGAAATGTGGCTAGTCCAAATTATGTGCTGTAAATGTAAAATACACACAAAACTTTGAAAACTTAGTACCAAAAAGGTAAGATATCTAATTAATAATTTTGTATTTATCATGCGTCAAAATGTCAATAATCTTTTATATATTGGGTTAAAAAAAAGATATTATTAAAATTAATTTCCCCCATCGTTTTTTACTTTTCTTAATGTGGCTACTAGAAAATTAAAAATTACATATGTGGCTCACATTTGTGTCTTACACTACATTAATGTTGGAAAGTGCTATATACTGTGGTTTTCAGCTGCAGACAATACCCATCCCCAGGGGGATTGTAAATACTTGTGTATGTTGGAGGGAACATCTTCTGGTTAGCACTGTGACTGTGAAGCATAACTAGTATATACATATTGCACAAGGAAAAAAGAGTCTCAGCATCCTTCCATAAATAGAAAATCCTGTAGCTTGTCCTTCCTAAAATGGCAAGAGTGCTGCATATGAGAAACACTGGCCTGTGGAAGCTAGGGGTTATACATTCTCTAGGAGGTCCATTAGAAAATCATGTGGAAAGAGCATCATTAAATCCACCCCTCTCATGACTGAGGCACTCAGGTTTGAGTTCCATAATTCAGTGGACTTCTTAGATAATAAATTGCTTCTCACCTTGTCAGGGTGTACCTAATTGTCATGCAAACCAGTGTCCTTGCCTTCAGTGCTATTTTCTGGGCTATTACACAGGCACACTTACTTTAGCAAGGTCTTAGAAGGCTTGGAAGTGTTGAAGGCAGGATTGTTCCTAGGGTGTGAGGGTTCAGGCAAGCAGTTTTTGCCAGCCCCCTTTCTATCTAAACAGTTTGATTTACCCCAAATCTATCACAACAATCTAGTGATCCAATCTCACATAATACAATTCCAGCCAGTGGAATGAGTGATCTACTTGCCAGACTACCCTCCTGGAACCAGGGGCAGGCTACTGGTCCACGATGACTCCTTAGATGCAAGTCACTGGGTTCCATGGGGCAACTGGTCAACTTCATGTATTGGTCAGAGTGTCAGGGAGAATCCTGAAGAGGAGGAATAGGGATCCAGGCCTACATGGTTTGGCTGGATCAGGCACTCTGCCCAGATAGCACTGTCTCCCTGGCTGGTCCCAGAAACTGAAGGGGAACTAAGAAAATTTGGATGATTCCAGAAATTAGACCCACACAGGTCCAGGTCTTCACTGAGGGTGAAATCCCAGGCTTTCCCAGACACTGGAGAGGGTCTTAAAAAATTCAAGGAAGGTGCTGCAAAGTGTGGGGCTTCCTAAGGCCCAGGGACAGAGGACTCAAAGAAGGACCCCCATAGGCCCAGATTCACAGATAGTACTAATTTGGAGGTATCTATTCATTTGGATTGTGAAGGCAAATATTTCCACATTGCCCAGGCCTTAGATTCCATTCAAAATAACTTATTTCATGTTGGCCCTGGAGATACAAGTCTATAGGAATTTCTTGCCAAAACCCACATTGTAAGGTCTCTGCTTCTCCATCTGTATGGCAGATGTCCCTCTCATTGTATGGAAAAGGAAGCTCTAACTCTAGAGAAATTAAGACTATAATCTATTGATGATAGGTAGCTTCATCTTTCTTTCATTTGCTCTCTTTTCAGTAATAATCAATACTACATAAATACACTTGAATTTATAAATTGTTATGTAACTGTTCCATGTCTGTTAGTCTTTCAGCTACTTGGAAAATGTGCCTAGGCACCATGCCTGGCTCATAAAGGGTATGAAATAAACACATCCATAATAGATGCTAAATACTGCTTTCTTCAAAGCAAGACCCTTTCACCATGCACAGTATGAGTCATTTCTAATTCATACTTTATAAAATTGACATTGTACCTTTTGGTTTCATAGCATCAAAGAACAATCTAAATTTCTGGATAAAGGCCAGCACAGCCACCCAAATTTTATGTGTAGAAATGTTCTTGCTACATAATGCTGGTAAAATGTTGATGCTGTTTTTGTCATGATGAAATTATTTTCTTCATTATGCTTATTATAGCAGGCCAATGAGTTCAGACAATT